GCTGTTTTTAGCTCTGTTTTAGAATCTTTTTTCTCAATTTTTAGGTGGAAACACTTGCCACCACATTGGACGCCATTTGTAGCTAGAGTTTTCCTGCCTGGCCCACAGTCAGGACAAATCTCTCTCACCTGCCAGTCCCACAGATGCTCAGACCCGACCAAGTAAACACAGAGACTTATATTGCTTACAAACTGTATGGCCGTGGCAGGCTTCTTGCTAACTGTTCTTACAGCTTAAATTAATCATTTCTGCAACTCTATACCTTGCCACATGGCTCGTGGCTTACCGGTATCTTCACATGCTGTTTGTCATCATGGCGGCTGGCAGTGTCTCCCCACCAGCTTCCTGTTTTCTCCCTTTTCCTCTCTGTTAATCCCGCCTATACTTCCTGCCTGGCCACTGGCCAATCAGTGATTTATTTATTGACCAATCAGCAACACATTTGACATACAGACCATCCCACAGCAAAATGTTACCATTGTTCACATCTGTCTGAGGTAATTAACAGTTAATCTGTTCAAAGTAATGTGCAAGGATTGTACATGTCTACAAAAATGCTTTTGTTTATTACTGGGTGTAACTATGCACATTGAAGACATTGGGGGGGATGTGTTTTACTTATGATTTAGGTAATAAAAATGGAAACTGCATGGCAATGTTGGCACACACCTTTAACCCAGATTTGAGGGGGCAGAGACAAGTAGATATGTGAATTGAAGGTCAGCCTAGTTTACATAGCAAATTTCAAGGTAAGATGGGTCTACATAGCAAGTTCCAGGACAGCAAAAACTACATAATAAGGAGACCTTGTCTCAAAGCAACAACAAAAATCTTTAAATAAATTAAAATTTTACATTCATTAGTAGAAAATGCATAATTCTTCTATGTTTCATACTTAAAACAACATGATCTTGCAGTAGCAGTTAGGGTAAAAATGCTTTCAAAATTGTATGTGCTAGGTAAACCTTGGCCCAATGTGTGGTAGTGTTGAAAGGTGAGTGAACCTCTGCCAGATGGCAAGGAAAGGAGGGAAGAGGAACTGGATCAAGGGAAAATGCCACAAAAGGGATTAGTGCTAATCTTGGACTTACTCCCATAATTGTGTATTACTTTTAATGCAGGGTCAAAGCACATTTGCTATCTCTCCACACATAGCTTGTTCCCTTTACAACTCTTCAACACATTGTAAAACAGCTAAGCAGGCCCATGGTAGAAGCAAAAATGATGAAACTACCTGATCTTGGATTTTCAACCAAAAAAGAAACTATCATCAAAATAAATTTAATCTCCTGGTGAAGTTCTAAACATTAAGTGTTTTGTTACAGCAACAGAAAATGACAGAGCACACTATTTGTCACAATATTTATTATATTAACTGTATGTATTATCATGTCACAGTTAAGGTGTCATTAAGAGAAATTTCTGACATAAATTTCTATACTGAGGAGGCTGTTCAGTGTTTCTTAACCAATGTACCAGATCCCTGGCTTCTACCAAGGAGCTGATGATCAGCAGCTCCTAACATCCAGTTAAATAGACAAGAATGTCTCCAGACTCAGTCAAATGTACCTTCACAGACTATATCACCAGTCATGTTTTCTGCCTGGCCAATACTCAAGTATTTGTTGTTAAAGTAATTATGTTTAACATTACTTGTATCCCTATGTATAATACACAAGTTGGTAAGTCTCTCTTATTACAATTTTTTAAAAATGAAAAGTCAGGTGGTTGTGGTACACACCTTTAATCCCAACTTTGAGGGTGGAGGGGACAGAGCCAGGCAGATCTCTGTGAGTTCAAGGCCAGCCTGGTCTACAAAGCCAGTTCCAGGACAGGCGCCAAAACTACACAGAGAAACCCTGTCTCAAAAAAAAAAAACAAAAAACAAAACAAAAAAAAAGAAAAAAAGAAAAAGGAAAATACTATAAAAGTATTTGACAGTGATCTGTTTTTTCTTTAGTGAGATACCCCTGCATGATAAAAAAAAAAATTAACAAAAATGATTCATTGTGATCTTTCCACAATTGATTCTTCTAGAATTAAGCTGGAAATGACAAATGACTAGGCAGGCTTCTCTTCTGTATGAATATAGTGATAAAAGGCTACTCACATCTCTCAGAAAGATTCCCTGCATTCATAAAATGAATTATCAAGAATGACCTGTAAGTAATACAATGAGAACAGATCACACTTGGGAAGACTAAATATTACAAACATTTATTTCACAATAATATGCGAGGCATAGGGCACAAAGACAAAGGTGAAAGATCTCTGTTTTCTTCAACCAATTCTTCAATCCCAATAAATTTTCCCCAATGTTTGCAAAAATGTCCTTGGGCCAGGTGGTGTTGGTGCATGCCTTTAGTACCAGGACCCGGGAGGCAGAAGCAGGCGGATCTCTGTGAGTTTGAGGCCAGCCTGGCCTACAGACTGAGTTCCAGGAAAGGTGACAAACTTACACAGAGAAACCCTTTCTCAAAAAAAAAGGGGGGGTGTCACCTTCACTTCACTTTGACATAAACTGGAAAACAATGCCTGCTGTTCTTTGGATTGCCAAGTCTAGAAATATTGCATATCAGCTGAGTTCATAGTCTCCCACCAAAGCTCACTTAACTTGTAATGGCCATAGTAGAGGGTGAGAATTACAGGCTAGGTCCAGAGATATAAGAAAAAGGTCTCTGGGTGACATGTAGCCACTCTGCTACCCAGTATTATTCCATTGTACACACTTTGTGATATATGCCAATGCTTCTTTTCTAAATGTTCTTGATGTTCTTCAATACTATAAGACTTTTCCTAGAATGTGCTGTCTGATACTTCCTTAGGTGTAATGTATGGTTAATGAATGGGCTTTCAACATTATAGGCATTCCTTTCTCAAGTGAGTTCTCTGATGCATGCTGTGGGGAAATTTCTACTGGACAGATTCCATAATTATTCCATTCACAGAGATTTTCCTCACAGGATTATTTCATATTTCACAAGGTGTGACTTCCAGATAGTTTTCTAATGATTGCATTTCTAGAAGAGTCTTTTGCCAGTGCAGACTTTCTCATTCATATTAAGGCATGAATGATGCCAAAATGATTTTGAACTTTAATTATATTCATAGATTTTTTTCAGTTATAAAAAGTATTTTCCACATTCATGACTTTCATTGAGGTTTTCTCCAATATGAGTTAGATATATTCAAAACATGTTTAAAACGTCTATATTCTTTTATATTCATGTTTCCTCCTATGTAAATACTTAGATGAATTCCAAGTGTAGACCTGTAATGTGGTACATTTTTCCATATGCATTACATTTATGAAAATTTCCTCTTGTGTGAGTTTTCTCATAACATTTTAAGGGCAAGTTCTGGTGAAACTTTCCTTCACATTCAATATGTTCCTAATGTTTCTCAACCCTGTGAGGGTTCTCTCAGGTTAACTGAGAGATGTTTTACAGAAAGAACACCTATACTACACACACTCAAGGAAATTCTTGGTTGGAGTATTTGAAGAATTCTGAGGCTTAAATAAATGTCTTTCTTTTTTTTTTTTTTTTTTTGGTTTTTTTTGAGACAGGGTTTCTCTGTGTAGCTTTGCGCCTTTCCTGGAACTCACTTGGTAGCCCAGGCTGGCCTCGAACTCACAGAGATCCGCCTGGCTCTGCCTCCCGAGTGCTGGGATTAAAGGCGTGTGCCACCACCCCCCGGCTAAATAAATGTCTTTCTATACCCATTATCATCATACTTCCCCACATCTGTGAGTTTTCTGATGCCTACTTAGGTTTGATTTCTGTGAAAACGTTTTTCTACATATATTACATTCAAAGGGTTTCTCCCCATAATGAATCAATTCATGTACAATGAGAGATGATTTGTATCCAAACATTTTCCCACACTGAATGCATTCATAGATCTTTTCACCTATGTGAATTCTATAATGCTTACTAAGGACTAACTTCCACTGAAATGTTTTCCCACACTGTGAGAGCCTGTTCTCGGGTTCCTCGTGGCTTTACCCAGCAGGTCCGCATAGAGGATGATAGGACCACGGGCCTGAGTGCAGGTGTCTGGGATGGTCTGCACTTGGCTGTGCTGGGGGAGGAGGTCTTTTGCTCCACCCCTTGGCGTCTCTATAAAAACCCTGGGCAGAGACAGTCGGGGCCCATTGGAATAGGTTCCAGGCCCTCAGGAGGCTATCCTTTATTTTCTATCTATTTATCTCTGCGATATTCTCCCCAATAAATCCTTCTATCTAATATTTCCTGCTGCTCACACTCAAGAAAACTCTGGGGAACTGTGGGGGTGGTTGGGTAAACGCCCCACACCACACTTACTACATTCATAGGGTTTCTCACCTGTATGAATTATCTGATGTTTGTTGACATATGACTTGTTTTGAAAGGCTTTTCCACACTCTTTACATTCATATGGTTTCCCACCTGTGTGAACTCTCTGATGAATTTTGAGGTATGACTTATTTTGAAAGGCTTTTCTACACTCTTTACATTCATGTAATTTCTCATTGTTGTGGATTCTCTGATGCCTCCTGAGGTCTGATGTGAAAAGGCTTTCCCACACTCATTGCATGCATAGGGTTTCTCACCAGTGTGAGTTCTATGGTGCGTGTTGAAGTAAGACCTGTTATGGAAGGTTTTTCCACATTCTTCACATTCATATGGTTTATCACTCTTGTGAGTTCCCTGATGCATTTTGAGGTATGACTTCTTTAGAAATGCTCTTCCACATTCTTTACATTCATATGGTTTCTCACCTGTGTGAGTTCTCTGATGCATTTTGAGATACCAGTTATGTTGGAAGGCTTTACCACATTCGTAGCATTCAAAGGGTTTCTCACCAGTATGAGTTCTCTCATGTACAATGAGGGCTGACTTTTGCCTGAAAGTTTTATCACATTTACTACAACCATAGGGCTTTTCTCCTGTGTGAATTCTCTGATGACTAGTAAGGGAAGATTTAGTGCTAAAGAGTTTCTCACACTGGATACATACATGGGCTTTCCTCTGGTTATGTGTCCCTGGATGAACTGGAAGGTCTGATTGGCTAGTAAAGGTTTTTTGACTTTCAAGGCATTTACAAGATTTGCTCCCTGAGTATGTTTCTTGGTGTTCAGTGAGGTTGCCATCCACATTGTAGAAACCTAAAAAAGGACCAAAAGAAATCATTTCTGTGAATTACACTTTAGGTTTTCTAATGGAATTCTCATGTTCATGTTAAGAAATTTTTCTTATCTTACTAGCATAGTGTTTTAAGATCATAGTAAGTATTAATTTATAAACTTTAGATAGAACATACTGAAACACACTAATAGGTTAACATATTTTTTCTCACTTTATTTTATTTTTGTGAAGAAATATTTTGTTAAAATATCAAGCTGGGTGGTGGTGGCCGACGCCTTTAATCCAACACTTGGGAGGCAGAGGCAGGAGGATCTCTGTGAGTTTGAGGCCAGCTTGGTCTACAAAGCCAGTTCCAGGACAGGCTCCAAAGCCACACAGAGAAACTCTGTCTTGAAAAACCAATAAATAAATAAATAAATAAATAAATAAATAAATAAATAAATAAATAAATAAGCTCCAAAGCCACACAGAGAAACCCTGTCTTAAAAAAACAATAAATAAATAAATAAATAAATAAATAAATAAATAAATAAATAAATAAATAAATAAATATATGAATGAAATATCCATTAATTGCTAGGCATACTTTTCCACTCAGATAATGGTTAAATTTTTTTTACACTGTTCTATCCTCATATATACTTTGATATATGACATTTGTGACCTTTTCTTTCTGGCATTCTCTTTATTCTGGTCTAAAATGGGCAATAATTTCTAGAACATCTTCTTTGCAGATTATGAGAGAAGTCCAATGGACTGCTTCCTAACCTGAAGCTTCCCTTATGGCCATGAATTTGCATCTTAGTTTATTTAGAATTATTACTTCAGGAGTGGTCATGGATTGTGAGTTTTTCAAATATGAAATTTCTTCCTTTCCACTTCCACACAAAACAGATACCAGTAATTGAGGTCTTAACTGAACAACATGTGCTATTCTTTTCAAAACCAGAATAAATACAAGGAAACACCTGTCTACCACCACCCTGGGGAAATATGTATGTTGTATATCATCTCTAAAGTGTCTAGCTACTTGTGATCTCAAGAGCTTTGACATTCACCTCCAAATTGCTGATACACACTCCTGTGTCTTATAATCCATAGCTTATCAAGGATGTTATCATGTTTACAGAGACATTGCTTCTTTTAGTTTCATAAAAAGTAGACTCTTCTGCCATTTCTCATTATTTTTGTTGCTTTAGAATGAGAGAAAGAAAATAGAGGGGAGTACTGCACTCAGACTATACTCCCCATTTAAAAAAAAAGCCTGAGTTCTCTTTTTTTTTTGGTTTTTAGAGATAGGGTTTCTCTGTGTAGCTTTGTGCCTTTCCTGGAACTCAACCAAATCTGCTTCATTAAAATGTACTAAAACAAAAACAAACACATGAAAAAATGTCTGAAAACAAAATCCCCATGACATTGGAGTGTAAGAGGCAACTGAAACTATGAAAAAGAAGTACCAGAGGAAATTATCAAAACACAGATGTCAAAGATTAGACTTCGAGTATAAATCTTAGAAAATTTTCATCAAATGAAAGGTAGGAACATATTCAAGAGAATTCTCCTTGTAGAGTATGTAATGAACAAGTTTGCACCCTCAGATATGGAACTTGGGACAAATTGGTAAAATGGCCAACCTATGCTAGACATGATCTCCCTATCCATGAGTACAACTAACCTGGCAGACTCTGGTTTGCAGTTTCCTCTGCTGTCCATGGCTCTGCTCCCTGTTCCAATTTGAAGATCAACTCAGGCTTAGGAATACATTGTCCTGTTAATAAGAAATAGTGTAGGACTTAGAGAAAAATTCTGCTAATAAGGTTCTTTGAAGAAAGACAAAAACAGGTTTTAAGATCTGTGCAACCAAAGTGCAAATGTGGACCTTTCACTAGAGAGCACTGAACAATCATAATGTGTGGCCTAGAACCTTACCCCTAAACAGCTTTAGGTCTCACATTTGTTCAATGTTTACTACACTGAAAGTGTTTGCTCCTGAGACTACTTACCCAGCGATACCAGGCTGCTGTATGTCTCCAGCATCACAATCCTGTACAGCACCCTGAGTATCATCAAGATTTTGCCACTCCTCCCAGGTGAAGTTCACAGTGACATCCTGAAATGACACCAAACCCAGTAACAGCACATTTCTCCACAGTCAATTACTCTATGCTTTGTAGTGGGTAGCCATTCCAGCTTTGATCTGGAAGTTCCAACCCCCATTGAGTCTTCGGCAACTGTCACGCCTACAAGGCGGGGCGAAAGGAGGCGCCGGGGACCCGAGATCTGGATCAGCGGGCGCGTTCTCGGTGGCGGGACCCTAGACTGGAGAGGTGTACCAAGCAGAGCTCCTGAGAACACCGCTGGACTGCGATACACCTTCCCCAGACCCCGCGACCTACCTATCCCTTAATTTGTAAGTTACGCCATTAAATAAATCTCCTTTTAACTACGTGGAGTGGCCTTAATAATTTCACCAATATCTGGCGCCCAACGTGGGGCACGAACCCACGACCCTGAGATTAAGAGTCTCATGCTCTACCGACTGAGCTAGCCGGGCTTTCACTTCTGCGGAGTCACAAGCACGAGGAAGTCGCACCACTGGGCCTTGGGTTATCCCATCTGCAAGGACCGGGCTGCTGGCACCGCCACCAAGACCTATTGCTCTGCAGCCTCTGTTAGTACTGGCCACAAGACAGCCTTCCGTTGTTGCCATTGGAACCTGGTACTCTTTCCCATCCAGGCACAGGGGCCCTGCCACTCCAACAGGGATGGGCATGTATCATATTCTCACAGCAAGCTCCCATTACCAGAAAGTAATTATAATCTCTGTAAGGCAGGTACTGCAGAGAAGAAGGCTCCGGAAGCTTTGTGGAGAGGAGCTGCCGGCGAATAGATACCCCACGTTCATGAGTCTCCATTAGAGTTTCCAACTTGTAGGCTGGGATGTGCTTGGCATTGACCAACTGGATGATCTCTGCATCACTGAGGAACTTTGCACCTTTCTCGGCACTCTCCAGGATCTGCAGACATTCTTCATTAGGCCGAGGCTTGCCGGGGAGTTCAATTTCAGGCTCCTGTGTTTCCAGTACCACCGGAGGGCTGGCTCCAGAGGCTCCGAGCACAAACGTAGCTCTGCTTGCAGTCTCCGCTTCCGCCACTAGGGGTTTTATAACCTCAACTTTTCTATCCTGGTTTGTTCCCAGCTCCTCCTCCACTGACGAAAGCTTCTGGTTCCTTCTCACAAGCAGAGGCTCACGTCTGCAAGAGTTGTCTTGGGCTTTCTTTGGGGTCATGACAGGAGATGTAATAGGATTTTTTAATGAGAGTGTTGACTCTGTCTCTGCTTGTTCAAAGAAAATGTATTGACAGCCAACAGGAAAGCTAAACTCAGGGTAATCACTTGTTCGATGTCCATGCTGATCATCTTGGAGAGATAAAACTGCCAGAGAGAAACACTTGGTTCACTTCTCTTGGACACATCTTCATCCAGTCCCAAGGAGACCTTAGAATGTTCTGTTGTGCTATTCTGAGGGGAGGGATCAGCTATCCAGCGACTGTGAGCGTGAACGAGAACCAAGCCTAAAGACATAATCATCTTGACCCTTTGGGTTACAGGGTTTGGCTTTTTCTCTTCTTCTTCCAAAACTCGGGCAAAATGGCTGAGCTGCCAAATTGGACGACCCTCTCGGCTCTCCCGAGAAAGCTCGAGGACCAGGGACACACAAGCTGGGAAAAAGGTCATGAACACGAAGTAGTTGGCAAGCACAGACATGCAGCCAAAGCAGCACATGATTTCCAGCTGCCGCACCCCTGACATGGTGCCGACTCCAATTACAAGACATTCCACAAGAGCATCAAGGGTGAATGTGGGACCCAGAACTGCCATTCCACGAGCTATATTTTCCCTTACTTCATCCTGTGAGTTTGAACTTAGGGCAAACTTGGCTAGTGCGCTCGCTCTAGAAAGGTCAATCAAAAGCAGGAAAAAGGGCAAAGCTTCATTCAAGCCTGTCAGCTCTTTGTCTAGGAAGTGAATGACAACCGTACTAAAGACAAAACTGGAGAAGATGGTGAACAGGCCAGTGATACCCAAAATATATTTTGACCCAAGCTGATGGATAGGTATAAGATATTATGGTAGATTATTATGTATACTAGTAAACAAATTTAGTAAAATAGCAGCCTTAAATAATTTGCACTGTTATGGATTCTTATATGTTGATACAAATGTAAACTATTTTTATATTCCTGTTTAAGATAATTTGTATATTGATACAAATACAGAACTATATTTGTTATAATGTACATATATTTCTACTCTTATTTGAAATATTTGTATATTGATACAAATGTAAATTTATATCTGTCATACTTTATGTAGGTTCTACTTCTGTTTAGGATATTCGGTATATTGATATATATTTAAGATTATTGTCATATTGCATATCACACTACATACTCCTACCTCTGTTAAAAATATCGATATATATTTAAGATTATTGTCATATTGCAATCGCACTATATACTCCTACCTCTGTTATAACATCTTGTGTATTGTCACAATTTTAAAGTCATCATTCTTTACCATACACTTGCTTATAGACTGTTTACCTTGTTTACGTGAAGCCTTAGTCCTTAGGTTATTTCGGTAAATAAGACTTATAGATTTATAGTCACCTAGGCTTGTCATCTCTATAGTTACGTTAGTTAGGTTATCCAGATTTACAGATATATAGGTCAGATGGACAGGTAATCTTCAAACACTTCATAGACCTAGAGAATATGGCATTTAAATAACTTAGAATTCTGTTGATGTGAGACACAATTGCTCCTGGCTGCACCAATTTGATCCCGAGAGAATGTTGGGCTTCTAAGACATTTCCATTTGGAAGTTTGTCTTCTTGGCACAAAATGGCCTACTGGGCAAAGAACTGCCCTTGCCTCGACGGATGACAGTACAAATGCAATGCTATCCTTTCTGGACAAGCGGGACACAAGGAAAGCGACCACTGTACTCTGCCAAGACAGGGTAAGATGGTCTTTCAGAATTCTTGCTTCTAAAAATGGTCTGTCAGATACTTTAGGCCTGTAGCCAATTTGAATGCACCAACAACGCTGAGAAACATTAGGTGACTGTCCAGGCTGCCAGCTGTCTTGGTCTACTCTCGCAAGATTCCCGAAAGTTGCTTGCATCCATCTACCATTTCTCAGGTACCATTATATTCCTTCTCAGGTCTTTGATGGGATTGAAGACTAGCAGTTATAGTTACAACTTAGTAGATAGAACATATTAAGTATTAGATTCAGGTTCTTTAGGATAGGACACCTTTTGGAATGATCTTTGTAACATGCCATTTACCTATGCTCTATACTTCTCTGTTTCTTGCTTGATATTGTTTGCATTGGTTGTAGTTCCATCTTATCTAGGTCATTATCCCTCTTTATTCCTGGACTATATTTGATAACCATTCCTTTGTATATAGTCTTGTATTAGGTTAGAACTTTCTTATTTAGACAAAAAGGGGGAGATGTAGTGGGTAGCCATTCCAGCTTTGATCTGGAAGTTCCAACCCCCATTGAGACTTCGGCAACTGTCACGCCTACAAGGCGGGGCGAAAGGAGGCGCCAGGGACCTGATATCTGGATCGGCGGGCGCGCTCTGTGGTGGGACCCTGGACTGGAGAGGTGTACCAAGCAGAGCTCCAGAGAACACCGCTGGACTGCGATACACCTTCCCCAGACCCCACGACCTACCTATCCCTTAATTTGTAAGTTACACCATTAAATAAATCTCCTTTTAACTACGTGGAGTGGCCTTAATAATCCACCAATACTGCTTATAAACAGGAACCTGAAGGCCCAGCTTGTCTTAAGGAGTGGAAGGCTCTCATGTATATTTTACATTATAATTTCCCCTGCTTATATAGTGAAGAAAAAGAAATATCAAAGAACTATTCTGATATTATTGACTTATGAATGGACTACAATGATTAACTTATAGATTAAAACCTTCATTGTTGGTGTAAGAGAACCAAGGCTATTCAGGTAACTAGGCCTTAATCACATAGGGCTGCATGTGAGGCATGAACATACCCAGGCCTCGCTTCCCCTCTTAGGGGTTGGAGGCAGCCTCACTACTGTCATGTTGTATGGCTCATGCAATAATAATCGCCACTCCCAAAGAAAGAGTGACCCTTGTCACTAAGTCATGCAGCATAAGTCATATGTTAACCAAACCTGCTTCCTGCAAGACCTCCCCTTCCTCAGGAACCTTTGAAAGTATAACCTTTGCTTCACCTGGAACGGCTGAAACTCTCCTTCAGCACCCTGTCTCAAACACACAAGCAACCACACACCATAGTAACAGTCCTATACACAGTATCATCATATATAGGTGAATGAACCTCCCCGTATTGTGACAACAGGAAAACATAAAATTGAAGGAACTGATTGTGAAGTGAATGATTCTGGATTTACTTATCTAGACTAATTCCTTTCTTTCTTTTTCTTTTTTTTTTTTTTTGGTAGGGAATAAGGGGGTTGTTTGTTTTTTATTTTGGTCTGGTTTGGTTTTGGTTTTTCAAGCAAGGTTTCAGACAAGGTTTCCCTGTGAAGCTCTAGCTGTCCTGGAACTCACTATGTAGTCCAGGCTGGTTTAGAACTCAGAGATTCACCTGCCTCTGCCTCCTGAGTGCTGGGACTAAAGGCATGGGCCACCACAGCCTGGCAACTACTGGGGGAGAAGGTTTCTCTGTGTAACAGTCTGGCTGGCCTGGAACTCGCTTTGTAAACCAGGCTGGCCTGGAACCCACAAGGATCCACCTACCTCTGCTGGGATTAAAGGTGTATACCACCACCACCCAGCTAGATATATCTAGACTGATTTCAGTGGTAAGTGCATGTCAGAGGAGCAGCAGGTGGCAATTGAAGTGAGAGAAGTCAGCCCACCAGGAAGCAAAGCTTTGATAGGTGAATCTTGGATAGGAAAGGCCCCGAGGACTTCAGCCCCAAAATGTCTCTTGCTACTGCTGTGCCTTTATATGTTTGCTGCTGCCATTTTTCACTGGTATCTGGCATGGTGTGAATCAGCATGGGAGGATCCCCGTTGCCTTTAATGTAGTATGATTACCTCATGGAAATATCCTGTTCTGCTGGGCATTTTTACCTGTGGATTATTGTGAAGATGATTTCCTCCTAAACTGTACTGTAACTAAAGCAATGATCTTACACAACAGTAGAGTGAGTTTCAATAGGTTTTTTTGTTGTTTTCTTTGTTTGTTTCTTTGTTTTTCAAGACAGGGTTTACTCTGTGTAGTTTTGGAGCCTGTCCTAGATCTCACTCTATAGACTAGGCTGGCCTGGAACTCACAATGATCTGCCTGGCTCTGTCTCCCAGTGCTAGGATTAAAGACATGTCCACCACCACCTGGCTTAAATAGGATTTTGATGATTGACAGTCTTTAATAAATAGAGTAAGAGATTAGGTTAAAGGTCAGCTTAGTGGGAAAACTAATATAGGTAAAAGTTAGATACAATGTTGCCCCTGCCCCAATAAAGCAGGGCCTGCAGAGGATAGAAAATAAGAACAAGAAAATGTCTCTTGAGGAGCCCTATAGACATTGACTAGTGACTTAAGTTAATAATTAAGAAAAACAATTGAAGCCAGGCAGTGGTGCTGCATGCCTTTAATCCCAGCATTCAGAAGGCAGAACCATGTGGAGGATCTCTGTGAGTTCAAGGCCAGGCTGGGCTACAAAGTGAGTTCCAGGAGAGGCTCCAAAGCTACACAGAGAAACCCTCTCTCAAAAAACCAAAAAAAAAAGAAAGAAAAACAATTGTGTCCGAGTAGTCTAGATAGCTTAAATTCTTTTAACCTTAATGTTGGGAGATGTGCTCACAGGTTTTGGTGTACATTGTAGCTAAAGCAAAGCTTTAAATAAATAATGACTTGAGGTTAGGTTAAAAAGTTTTTGTTAATTGGCTCTGAGGTAGAAATATCTTGGAAAACGATTTAAAGGCATACTTTATTAGTTCACCAACTCTGTGGCTTCCCCATCAATCCTTGAGTTGCTGGAGGTTAGTCCTCATGGCAGCAATAGGTAAGCTTTATATGCCGACTGGTATTCCTTACAGATTAAAGATGTGTACTCTGACATTCCAATATTTCCTTGCCCATACAAATTACTGCTTATTACTTGCTATTTGTAAGACCTACTAATTCCAAAATTATAGTATAATACTATGAAGTTGTATCAGAACAGGTAAGTGAACTGAGCAGATCTGGATTTCAACAGCCATCCCCTAGAAAAACTTGAAAGGCTTATGGGATAGTCAGAAGGAAGAAAAGAGAGTGAGACATGGGAGTGTTTTCAGATACAGAGGAGGAAACACACACACACACACACATACACACACATAATGTAAAAAATTATATTCTGAACTCAATTTTAAAAAAATGAGTAAGATAAAAATTGTAGACCACAGGATAAACTGCTACTAGAGGGAAACTGATGCATGAAATAAAATATTAGGAAGAATAAGCTAAGATCGGTAATCTAAGTTTGTGCCTTTTGAGAGCAGAAAGACAAAAATTGAATACAGCAATGGGAGAAGAAAAAGAATAAAGAATAAATCAATGAAATTAAAATAAAAAGTTAGCATAGAGAGCACACACACACACACACACACACACACACACACACACACACACCACACTCTGCTCAACAATTGAGGGGTGGAACTATTCTGGACCCTAGTTTAGTTTTCAGGTAAAAATCAAAAGAAACACCTTTAATCCCAGCACTCGGAAGGCAGAGGCAGGCGGATCTCTGTGAGTTCAAGGCCAGCCTGGGCTACAGAGTGAGTTCCAGGACAGGCTCCAAAGCTACAAACAGAAACCCTGTCTCGAAAAACCAAAAAGAAAAGAAAAGAAATTGATGGGACATAGGCTACAAAGTCAAGAAGAAGGCAGATATTGATGACAAAAATCTTGACTTTAGTGTTAAAGAAGAAACAGAAAAGTCACCAAAACAGAACATTATGTTGACCCATAACACAAATCCCCAAAATAAAATCCCATATATGCTCTGAATATAAATCCTTTAAATAAGAAACCAATATCAAATCAAGAGTCTAGGAATGACTCAATATTCAGAAATTAAATACTATACTTTGAAATAAACTTGGAGCTAAGCAAGTATACATGAAGAATACTGAAGTGAACTTGGATACTGACTTTTGGGAGTGGGCCACAACTACTAGGCAATTCTTCCATCTTTGGTGGAAACTAAATCCTCTTAGGTCTTATCTGTAGCAACTGGTTTGATCAATGAAACATGGCAAAGGTATCATCTGGGAAATTCATAGGTAAGGCTGCAAAAAGTCACACAGTGAGGGGGTCCCTGCAGGTGTCATACAGGGAAGCAAACCACTGAAGAGATAAGAATGAAAACTGAGGGTTGGGGATTTAACTCAGTGGTAATAGCACTTGCCTAGCAAGAACAAGGTCCTGGGATCAGTCCTCAGCTCAAAAAAAAAAAAAAAAAAAAAGAATGAAAAATGGAGCCGGGTAGTGGTGGCTCATGCTTTAATCCTAATACTTGGGAGGCAGAAGCAGGTAGATCTCTGAGTTTCAGGCCAGCCTAGTCTACAGAGCAAGTTCCAGAACAGACAAGGTTACACAGAGAATCCCTGTCTCAAAGAAAGGAAGAAAAAAAGAAAGAAAGAAAGAAAGAAAGAAAGAAAGAAAGAAAGAAAGAAAGAAAGAAAGAAAGAGAGAGAGAGAGAGAGAGAGAGAGAGAGAGAGAGAGGGAGGGAGGGAGGAAAAGAAAGAAAGAAAGAAAGAAGGAAAGAAAGAAAGAAAGAAAGAAAGGAAGGAAGGAAGGAAGGAAGGAAGGAAGGAAGGAAGGAAGGAAGGAAGGAAGGAAGAAAGAAAGAAAGAAAGAAAGAAAGAAAGAAAGAAAGAAAGAAAGAAAGAAAGAAAGAAAGAAAGAAAGAAAGAAAGAAAGAAAAAGAGAGAAGGAAAGAAAGAAAACGTGGTGCAGATTGACTTTGTCAACCTGGATCAGACTTTGGGGAGTCTAATGCCAGGTATTCGTTGTCAGCATATTTAAAACACAGTACAATTTGGAAAAAGGTTTCTAGGCAACAATCGGTCCAATCAATCCAATTCCAGGTGCACAATAAAGCTCAATGTGTGACTACAAAGAAACTCCTTTACAAGGTACATGTGACCATGAGGGTGAGTTCTATAGCTAAAAGACCTAGAATATAGATTGGTCTCTGACCAATGCATAGAGGTGAACAGACTATAAAGTGCAAGGAACATCTTCCCTAAGGATTGGTAACTATCTAGGGAGGGAAGAGTCTGGAATAATCATTCTGGTGAATTTGGGCAACGTCTGCCTCTGTAGCAAAATCTAGGTGAAGTCTGCCTCTGTAGCAAAAGATGGGTGAGGTCTGCCTCCACAGAAAGGAAAAAGGTCACCAGGTCATTAACAAAATCCACTCTCAGCTTTCTGGATGGAATAGTGGTATTTGGTTTTTAACTCCTCCATTGAGGAGACACTCCTGCAATGATTAACATTCCTGGTTCCCCTGGGGCTTCTCTGTGAGTAAAAGGGCCTCTGTGTCCCCAACAACACAGCTCTGTTAGGAAGCTAGGCATTAGGTAGGAAATCCAGCTATCCTGAGACAACCAAAGAAGCACAGTGAAAATCCAGAAGAACCCTTCTTCCTAGGACACATGGAAATTCCTGCAGCTACCCACTGTCAGGCAACAGTGAGTGTTCTTGTACATCATCCCAGTTCTGCTTTCAGGGACCCACTCCAGCTGCCAGATCACTGCAAAACTGAGTTAAAGCCAGCCAGCAGAGAATCCCTATCACAGAACCAGCAGTCATAAACTATTCTAAGTTGTCACATTTTTAGGATGGTTTTTGATCCATGGTTTGAATATGAAAGATCCTCCACAGATTCATGCACCAGATGCTTGGTCATAAACTGGTGACATTATTTTTAAAGGGAAGAAAACTTCAGGAAGTTGGGACCAGCTAGAAGAAATAGATCACTGGGGTCATGTCCTTCCTTGTACATTATAGTCTCTGGCCCTTTCTGGCCTCTTTGATTGCTTTCTACAACCAGAAGAATAAGCTTCAAAGCCACTCATCCTACCAGTGTGATGTATGATGTTCTGTTCAAGGACAGGAGACTGGAACGCCATAGACTCAACAACCTTCATTTACCAAGAGGAACAACAACAAAAAGTCTTTCCAATAGGTTCTTGCTCTGCAGTTATCATGCTACAACAACAACAAAAAGCCTAATTCAAGAAGAATAGCTAGCTAAATAAAATATAATCTGTTATGTAGAAATGGGATTTTGTCTTAATAAAAAGATATAGACCATGACCCTGTCATTGAAAGTAAGGTGAGGTCTAAAGGTTACCTGAAATTCAAACTAGAAGGACACCACAACACTTGATGAGGGTGTGAAGGGGGATCATAAATGTATTGTCAGAAATGGGTGAAAACTGGGGAAGAAGTAAACAGGGATATGAGCAAAATTCTTACCTAACAGTACAAGCAAAAGGGTAAGCGCAACTGAGTATCTCATGGGGCTGTCTAAGCAAATTCCTGGGGAAATGTACAAAATACTGCCTAGTTACCTATCTCTACCTTTGAAAAAATGCAGAGGACAGTCCAAGCTATACAGAGAAACCATGTCTCAAAACACCAAAAGAGTCTGTGTCAAATTGACATTAAATTAGTGAGCACAATACATACCTGTGCTCCAGCTTGACACCATTAAGTGGAATCACATAGGTAGAGCACATTTTTATGATGCTAGAATGCAGCTGAGGATCCTGAGTTCACTTAAAGGGGCTTTAACAGCCAACTAGAGCCTGAGTCTCTAAGACTACTCTCATATCTAAGCATAATTACTTAATGTCAAGTACACAAAAACAAGCAAACAAAAATCACTATGAAATAAGGTTACTTTATGGAATATGTGGATTACAGAATAAAAGGTAATATAGTCTACCATATTTTCATTTAATAGTATTTTAATATTTAATAGCAATAACGAAAGTAATATTACAGTAGGGAATACTTAAATATCTCTATGGTACTGGATTTCAGATTTCCCCGTGGAGAAGTAAGGCCAGACAGGGTTTTTGAAGGTGCCAGAAGGGTATTTGTGTATGAGGGAACTCTTGGCAACATTCACAAAACTTAAACATCCCTCTTCACAATCAAGGAACACACCAACTCGGCCCAGTGGCTTCTCTATATAGTGCTGGAATACTGGGCATGTGGTGAGGAGACTGTAATGATTACCCTCCTTCACACACACAAGAAGAAATGCACCTTCAGGTTCAATCAGTTGGTTTCTATTCCTTAACAAGGAATCCTTACAGACCCCTACAGCCCAGTCCCAAGAGTCATTCAAATCAATCTCCCAGTAATATTTCCCTAAGATGAAGCTCTGTGAACTCCAGGTAGCAGAATAGCATCCAGCATAATCCGCAGATGTATCTTTACGGTGAGGTCTGAAGCTTAGTCTTCTCATGGCATTAAAGAGGTTTATCTTGTGATGGATCATTGTTATGTTTGGTAAGGGAATGCGCACTGTGGGAAGAAACAACATTTAGGTAAAATGACCGTTTACATTTCTCAGGTGAGAGAGGTCCATAGAGTCTTCATAGATTTTAAAAAGAGAAGGCTAAGACCTGAGGTTAAATTTGGCTCAAATACACCAATGTCAAGGATTTCCACAAGAAAAGAGTGGTAGCAGGCTGAAAAGACTTTAAATTACACATGCCTAAGGGAAGATGTGTGCATTGCAGCAAGGGCCAGAGCAAAGGCGGTGCTCATGGATCTACATGAAAGTTATTTTTATGTAGATATAAGTAGTGATAACTTTCATATTGGTGTTTTCATTTGCATCTAACTGAGCATATTTGTACTCAAGGAGAATCTAAATATGCTTTAGAAGTGGATCCCTTAATGTATCTGTCCTCCTTTAACCTCTTGTTCCTCTGATACTCTTTCTCTGTGAGGTTACAATTGACTTTTAGATGTATGAGGGGGATTTAGACACTGCCTCATGTCCTATCAATTTGTTTCATTTTCATTGCTCATGATACATGGCTTTGTCTGTTAAGTTATTTTATGATTTTTTTTGTTCCTTTGGTGACAGGGTCTTTCTATTTGTCCTAGACTGGCATAGAACTCAATGTGTTGAACAGACTGTCCTCAAACTCATTGGCAGTCCTCCACACACAATGTTTTTGATGCTGGGATTACTAGTGTGCACTTCTTTATCTTGTGTATTTTTTAATTTATGGAGTAAAATGCAATGTAAGAAATTAATTTCTAACACATTGAAAAGAAAATAATCAAATATCTCCATCACTGGCTACACTTCCTTTGAATTATACTGTCCAGAGTGAAATAACCATTCTACTCAATGAACAAATGATAGTCTCTTTTCAGCCACTATTACATACAACATGATGTTAGTATGCATTTCTGTTTGTTGGTTGTTTGTAAGATGACCATGGGGTTCATTAACAATACAATGTGACTTACCTAGACATATTTCTTGGGAGTTAAAATATTGTATTTGCAAAGGTTATCTCATTATTGAAGATTAGCTCTGGTCATTTTATCAGTGGAGACACTCACCTTGGAACTGGTTGTAACTTTCGATCAGTCCAGTGATGGGTAAGGCATTGAGTTCTGTCTTAATAGGCTGTGGCATGCTCAGCTGCATTGACTCACTTCTGCAAGGAAAAGAAAATATTGACCTCCGTGGTGCTAAAGATATCACACAGTGATTAGGAAATACTTCATTCCAAGTTCAGCCAAACACCACAGGTTACACAAGCCTGCCAACTTGAGTTCAATCCTTGGAACCCTTGATGGAAGGAGAAAGATGTCCTCTGACCTGCACACATGTGCATGTACATGCACACAAACTCACACACATAAAAATAACAAAACAAATAAAAGAACCCCAAAAATACCACACTAAAACAATTGAGTATTTTCTATATAAAAGACATCTGCACTTCCTAAGGCAACTTGGACAATTTTATAGCATATTTTTGGGTATCCAGATTTGCACTGATGGCTAAACTCACCTTCTGAACATGTCGTCCAAACCCTGCAAAGAAAACAAGAAAAGCTTAGATATCTGAAGAAATGAAATACAATGTTAGTTTCTAAAGTTCATATAAATATCAGTCACCATCACACCAATCTATCCTGGTGAATTATATTCATGACTTAAGATGATGCCAACCAAATAGATTAGCAGAACCCAAATTCTTGATGAAATCAGACTAAAGAGTAACTTGAGAAAGACATGGGTATGGACTGTACTTTGCTTTTGAACCCCCACCTGTCTGCAAAGATAACTTTCACTAAGCTTCTCTACAAGCCATAGGGATACTTTAGCTAAGGATTCTTCTAAAGGATGGCCTCACCCCTGCATGGTGCTTCACATGTATATTTCAGAATTGCAGGGTCAGAGGCATGAGCGTTACTGTGAGTTGCAAGGTGTAATGTAATACAAATAGGATCCTTTCTCAAAATGCCAATCTCCTAAAGGACTCACAAAAACAGAGCGCTCAAACAGAAGAAATTAAGCCATAGGTTACTTTAATATTGTGCACAATATATAAGTAGAGGTAAAGAATGTTGGAAACAGAAATCACTGAATTTCAGTTATCAGAAAAGCAAGGCACAAAAGCCAAAAGTTAGGACATAATCCCTGGAGAATCTATGGACATAATTTCAAAAAGCTTCTTCTTTCAAGATTATTACAGAATTTTGTTTCTCCAGAAAATTTCTCAAAAGGAAACTCCCTAAAAAAATGCAGGATATATTGAAAGCTATCTTAGTATAACAATCACCATGGTGGGCCTCCATGCTCACCTGCAGCAGAACCACATATGGCTCCTGGGACATTGCCAGCAGCTCCTGGTACATTTCTCTTAGTTCTTTTCTCTTTTGGACCATCATGGTTTCACTTGTCCTGAGTTTCTCTAAAACACATTGGCCTTCATTTCTCATAGACTCAATGTGTTTCTCTTCCTCTTCACAGAGGAGTGGATGCAGTTTCCTATACTCTGTCCTGATCATTTCTTCCCGAAGAGTCAAGTAGTCCTGAAGAAAAAAAGACATTCCCAATCATCTTTGCAAAGTTTTTTGTCCTCCCCCATTTCATCCTCCTATGCTTAAATTCCACAAATGACTTGTATAACTCTGATGCATATACTCTGATTGACTGTCTTCACACCTAAGAAAATGTAAATGACTTGTTTTCATTTATTTCTTCTTTATTAATTACACAGGCAATCCAACCCTAAGATCTATTTACACCTATATTAGCGGTGCAGAGGTGCCTGAAAAAAAGATTAATCATTCACATGTTCACAAAGTTATGAAACTCTGCTTGAAGTAATTAGAATTCACGGTGTAGTCTTAAAGTCTAACGCAGTGTGCAGAACAGTCAGCAATTCACTCATTAGACCCAGACTCTTCTAGAGAAGCAGACCATTCTTTCCAAGAGCAGAGACATATTATATACTCAGAATTAGAGGTGAGCAGGACATGTATTCCAAGTATCCTATCCCAGGCCTTATATTCAAATCTTGAGTGGCAAATTTTGAAAATATCTGCATCAAACTGATTTTAAGCATGGTTCTCATACTCACCGTCCAAAGAGTTCTCATTCTGTTCTCTGCTTCTAAATTCTCTTGATTTTCTTGGACCTTCTCCCATAAAGATGTCATTTGCTTCAAAAGTCTGTCCTGTAAAAAAACAATATCAATTTTGAAAAATATAACTTAATGACAGACTCTTAGGCAATTAATACAATTATTGTAGTGAGAGTACCAGAATCAAAATTATCCTTCATTTTTTTCTTTTTCTAATGATGAATATTAGATTAGACCACAGAATTAGAAAATGCAGCTTACCCTTTTGCTCAGGTATATTGATGAATTATTTTGATTACATGTTTGGCTGTACCTGACTCCCATGTACTTTTCCTAATTTAGTCTCCAGCCATAGACACTTTTAAAACATAGCAAGTTAGTGTTGCACTTTCCAGTGACCTGGGCATAATGTATCATAAAATACAAATGATCTTTACACTCAGGGTACCCCAAAGGATGTTTACAATCCTAGTCACCCTTTCTTCAGTAGATGTTAATAAAGTACCACCATTCTGAAAACAGTGCCTTTGTCATAATGAGGACCAGCATCTTCCTGTGGTTTCCTAAGCCTACCTCTCTCCAGCTTGCAAGTTCTCTCAGAAGCATCACTTACCATTTGATCCTCAGCAGCTGCTTCAATGGGACAGTGTCTGTGTCCTCTGTGCTCATGGGAGTTTGAGCAGAGTGGACAGAGAAAGATCCTGTTCTCAGCACAGAAGATCCTCTTAGTATCCTCGTGGGTCACACACTTTTGCTCCTCAGAGCTCAGGTCCTTCATGAGGCTGGCTTGTCTGACAATGGACACCAGCTTCTTCAGAACAATGTTGGTTCTCAATTTCTTCCCATATTGTTCTCTACACAAAGGGCATCGGACAGGAGGTTGGATGTCTTCCCTGGAAAGGTGGAGGCAGGCTCGACAGAAGCTGTGACCACAGATTATGGTGACTGGGTCTGTCAGGCAGCTCAGGCAGATGAAGCAGGTGAGTTCTTTCTGGAAGGATTGTGAGAGGTCTGACTCCATTTTTCTGAAGGAAGAAAAGCAGAAGAATTGCTATTATTTGACCCAAGAGAAGCCAGAAACAGCATAAAAACTGATGCAAGTTGTGATTTAATTCTGTGTGTGGCAAAGCAGGCTTCATTTTTCAGGAACAAAATATCAAGATAAGTATAAGATTGCAGTTGCTGATCTTTCCTCTTTCACTCTTCTTGACAGAAATATAGATTAGTCTGATGTCCTTCTGAGCCATTCCACCTGCATCTTTTTTGGAGACTCCCTTCAAATTAGTGTCTTGGTTTAAGGTCTGAGACATGCTTTCCAAGTGTTTACAAATAAATATACACTAGAGTGATCAAACTCCTTCAACTCCACATGTTGGCCTTTCACTACAGACATAAGTAGGTTAAACACACCCTTCTTTGTTGGCTATCCAAGAAAACACTCCATATTTCACATGGTCCCTAGTAAATGCTTTGCTTAATTTCTGATTTTAGCATCTTAGTCCTTCACATCCTCCTGTCCCACCCCTCGACACTTGAAGGCAACATTAGTTACTTGACTTCTTTCTGATGCAAATAGTTAACAAGAATAAGAATTAGGGAGGCTCATAATTCAAGGATATGTCCACCATTGTGGGGAAGAAATGGTGGCAGGAGCTTGAGGGAGCTGGTCTCATTGCATCCAAAATCAGCATGAAGAAAGCAAGGAACACTTGCTGCTCAGCTCCTGTTCCCTTTTCCTTAGTTTGAGACCTCAAACCATGGAATGGTCAAGTGATCTCAAGAGCATTTAGTGTGGATCTTACCAACTGTAGTAAATCTACTCCCCAATAATCCTTCACAGACATCCCCAGAGGTTTCCATATCTATCCTAAATCCCATCAAGTTGAATTCTAGGGTACTCTCTGTGGAAACTTGTTTGTTTATCAAAGATACAGTTCCTGGCTTCAGTTTATGGGGCATAAATGTGGCTGTCATGACTCTAGCAGAATTTCCTATTTAATCAACAGGTACACATTGTTCCTTCTCTTGGAAGGTCTACACAAATAAAGAATCTTGGATTGAGTGAGATAAACATCCACCAAATAACTTCAGCTTCTGTGGTCTGAAGCAAATGGACTCCATGGCTTTAGCTGTTGGTCCTATTTACCTTGAAAATAATACTAATACTCATTGTCAAGATTATTTTAGCAAAGAGATGGAGACTCCAATGCTGCCTTCCTTAACTTACCTAATCACCCCCATTTGGTATTTTTTTCTGTATATTAGATACTTCATTTTTTTTGAATGCCTACTGCCATATAAAATACAGGCTTACAGCACAATGGGAGAACCCCAGAGGGCAGAAGGTGTTACTGATGTTTTACAATCTTGCATCTCAGTTGTTAATGCCCAATATGCAGGATATACAGACAGGGAACTTCCTGTAAGCATTCAGGAGGGTGGAACCCGGCAGGGAATTAGCATAGGGAGGATATAAAGGTCAAGGTCGAAAGCAAGCCAGCAGTTACCCAAAATGGAAGCCAGGGCCATACAGGTCCCCCTTTTACTAAAAAATGAGCTTCTGATATATCATTCCAAAATAATTTATGAATTCACAGAAATAATGAAAACTGAATGCAGAATTTTAAAAATTGCACTGGATTATAACCAGGATCTACTTTCCTGAATAGAATATTGTGTTTAGTTTTCTCTAATTTAATCACATGTATACTTCCAACCTAGCAAATCAACCAACAGCAGGAAGAGCCAGTTTTTCAAAGATGGTAAACTATTATCAAGCATTATTTCACACTGTGATGTTTCCCTATAGTTTACAACAGGGAAATACTAAAATATTTTCCTTTACTAAATAATGAGTTTACACTTTTATATATAATACTCATAGAATATATCTCTAACTGCTAATAATTATCAATCTATTCAGAGCAATTATTTTATATATTATACATGTAAAATTAACTTAGAGGTGTTGATCTCACATCTATGAACTACATACAGAAATACACTATAAATATTCTTAAAATTAAGAGGAAGATCAAAATTGAAAGTTGGAACATCTGAGCAAAGAAAGACTGTGAATGGATAAACTACAATTATCTATACCTGTAACTCACAGTATATTTAAAAAGCAAGATGACCAAATGGGAACAGAGTCTCTTTTGATAAATAGACAAATTTTAAGCATTTTAAAGCAAAAACCTCAGTTTGGTAATAAATTAAAATAGAAAACACCAACGACCTTCAATCTTAAACTGTGCACTCACCCAAGAAATAGTCTCCAGCCTCAGCAGTGTTTTGTGGAGACACAGCAATATTAGCTCAGTTCTGGGGTATGATCCTCAATGTGTGGAGGAGATAGATCTAGCAGTCTAGGAGCCACTAGATATGGAGACTCACTCTGTCTGGTATAGAGAACACTGAACCTGGCTGGCCCCTGGAGTGTCCTTATATACTCTCTAAAGACCACGCCCACTTCCTCCCATGTTGCTTTTACTGATGCTTGCTGTAGGTGAGCTTCTGTGAATAGCAGTATTCTCAATGGATGGAAGATTGAATTAACTCTATGGCCAATATCCACAAACAAATCTCCACAACAAGGTTTCCTGAGTTCCTGCTTAGCTGGGTGTGGTAGCTCACACCTTTAATCCTTAGAGTCCCAGAGGATGAGCTGCTGAAGCAGGAGGAGTTTTAGTTCAAGGCCTGCCTAGGATATACAGTGAGAACTTGTCTAAAAAAAACTTATATAAATAAAGAGAAATTTTGCTACAATATTTCACTGTTTCTAAATAATTTGTGGTGTGCTTATATTCTTGCTTTTCCTTTTGTAATTTCACAGTTAATGATATCAATCTGTGATTTTAGTAAATATCAACATTAAAGAATTCTCAAAAACTCTTTAGAGTTTTGTTCAACGCATTTTTATCATATTTATCTCAACTGCGATTTCAAAGAGATTCATCCCTTTCTTACTCAACTGCCTGTTCTTTTCTTTTTTCTTTTTTTGATAAATACTTGGGGAAGCCAGGCACTGGTGGCACATACCTCCAATCCTAGCATTCTGGAGGCAGAGGCAGGAAGAACTCTGTGAGTTAGAGGCTAGCCTGATCTACAAAATGAATTCAAAGCTGTGCTCCAACAATACACAGAGAAACTAGGTCTGAATAAAAAAATATTTGATTAACTAAAACCCAAGTGTCTCTGATTTTCCTTGTGAGGGAATTTTCTTGATTGAATCATTTGAAGTGAGAAGCCCCACCTAAACTCAGAAGTTTTGAGGTTTGAGAATCTACCTTAAATCTTAGCTGGTGGCAGCCTATATAAAGGACATGGAAGAAGGAAACTCTCTCATCTGTGCTCTTTGACTTCTTGCTCTCATTCTCACTGGCAAGTTCATCTTATCACTGGTATTAGATTCTATTTCTGGGAGGATTTCAAAGTATACTGAAGACCAGCTGATACATCCAGCCATGTAAACTGAACCACTTCTCTCTCTCTCTCTCTCTCTCTCTCTCTCTCTCTCTCTCTCTCTCTCTGTATGTGTGCTCATATCCATTTAGTTTTGTTCCTGTAGATTCAAGGTGGTTGCTACACTTATCTCTTGGGTTTTAGTTAACTCCACGTGTAGTCAAAATGACAATAAGGAATAGCCATCAAAAGGTCTGACCACTTGGTGTTGGATGATCAGTTAGGGAGCTTGTCCCTAATAGAGCCTAATTTTTTGTCTAGGGATGGGACTCTCAAAATTTCCCACATTCATACCAACATATTCATTTTTCTGGTCTTGTTTATGCAGCCATTTCTAGGACAGAATGTTTCACAGCACACTTCCTGGTATTCTGGCTCTCACTGTCTTTCTGTCCCCTCTTCCACAATATTTCTGGAGCTATTAATGTAGGATATACAGGTGTATGTTGGGGTTCAGATCCCCATGATCTCTTCATTTTTACATTCTGTCCAGTTGTGGTATCCTGTGAGTGTCTGCCTGTATGGCCAATAGATATTTTTCTATGTTCTTGTAACTAAGCATGACTAGGTTTTACTTACTTGATCTGAAATCTAATGTATTGTTTCGTTAAATAATAAACCAGATCAAGGATTAAATTGTTTCAGGGATTGTGAGTTCAAGGAAATGATAGGAATAACTACTAGGAGGACTGGCAGAAAAAAAATGTTCTTAGTATTATTTGTCATGCAAGTTGTCAACACTGAGATGAGTTTAGTATTTAGAGAGCACAAGGAACCATAATGGGTATCTGAACACAGCTTTCAAGGAGTGTGTAAGATGATGATGAGAAAGATGATAATATTACATGTAATTTACCCATTAAATACTGGCTGAGGGAACTGGAGTTGTCAGACTGGTGAAGATTTCCTGTATGTAAAGTTTATTTGAGTCTTCTAGCTATAAATATGGTTCAGATAAGGATTATTCCTAACTGGAGTTAGCAGGAACCCTATTAATGGAGTCATGACCTGTGCTATCATTCATGCTGTGGCTTCTCTGTAGCATCTTCCTGTGTTTGAATTAAAGTCATTACACTAACAATTGTTACTTCATGGGAGACCAGGAGATGGTGCCTCTTGGTTCCCCTTTATGCAGTTTTCTTTGCCTCTAAAGTCATAGCTAGGTCTTGGAAAGCCTTAACCCAAGTTAAAGCCATTTAGAATCTGCCTTTGAGAATACTAGGGCAAAAGAAGTTGGATGATTTGATTCTTTTCAGGAATCTTGGGATATGAACTAAACTTTATACGGAGCTCCGTGATCCTTCTCTTTGGTGAGCTCAGGATTAGGAAGGGAGGCTATAGAATGAAGGCATCCTGAAGTGGAGATTGATGTGTTTCCTCCTTGGGAGATCTCTCTTTAGATCTATACTCCATTTTTAACTAGGTTAATTGTTTTTTTGATGTCCAGTTTTTTAATTCTTTATATGTTTTAGATATTAGCCCTTTATTGGTTGTGTAGTAGTTAAACTTCTTTTCCAATTCTGTAGACTGATACTTTGTCTCAATGATGGTGTCCTATGCCAAACAGAAGCTTTTTAATTCTATGAGATCCTATTTATTAATTGTTGTTCTTAGTGCCTGTGCTATTGGTGTTCTGTTCAGAAAGTCTTTTCCTGTTCCGGTGAGTTCAAGGCTATTCCCCACTCTCTATTCTATCATATCCAATGTATCAGACTGAGATCTTTGATCTATTTAGAGTTGAGTTCTATACAGGGTGATAAATATTGATGTATTTGCAGTCTTCTACATGAGCCCATCTAGTTTGATCAGGTATATTTCTTAAAGATGATGTCTCCATTTTTGTATGTATTTTTGGCTTTTTTAAGAATAAAAAAATCAGGTGTCCGATGTCTCTAGATATATAAATTTATTTGTAGATCTCAATTTGTTTCCATTGGTCAATGTGTCTATTTTTATACCAACATCAAACTTTTTTATTATTATAGCTCTGTAATACAATTTGCAAACAATGATAGTGATTTATCCTACAGTTCTTTCATTGTTCATGGTTGTGTTTGTTTTCCTGAGTTTTTCACCTGTTTTTAGTTCTTGTGTTTGTTTTGTTTGTTTGTTTGTTTAGTTGGTTGGTTTTTTGTTTTGTTTTTGGTATTTCTTATAAACCTGACAATTGTCCTTTCAAGATCTCTAAAGAATTGTTGGCCTGGAAACACCCTAGATGCCCCTCAACTGAAGAATGGATTAAGAAAATGTGGTACATATACACAATGGAATACTACTCAGCAGAGAAAAAAAACAATGATATCATGAAATTTGCAAACAAATAGTTGGAATTAGAAAATGTCATCCTGAGTGAGGTAACCCAGACTCAGAAAGACAAGCATGGTGTGTACCCACACATAAGTGGATTCTAGATGTAAAGCAATGGATAATCAGACAACAACCCACAACTTCAGAGAAGCTAGCTAACAAGAAAGAACCAAAGAGGGATGCATGGATCATCATGGGAAGAAGTACATGAGATCTCCATGAGTAAACTGGGGATGATGGGTAGGCCAAGGAGGGTAGGGGATAGGGCATGAGATCATAAGGGATTGGAATAGTT